TACATAGCTTTAATCTTAAATTGTGTACTCTCACATGCTCCTGACCCAGAATAATGTATGTATGCATGCATGTATGTGTGTGTGTTGTTAATCATTTGCTGATAGCAGCCAACAGGTTGAAAGCAACATTATATAATACGTGTCTTATAAGTGTTGGAAGCCATGCGTGGATTCAGGTTGATTACATTGCTTGCAGTGTTTTGTGCTATTCTTGAGCATCAAAGGCAACTCCTTTCCTTCTAAAATTCTGTTAAGATTTCTGTAAAGAACTTCTCATTTCTTTCCCATACCATGTTTTCTGTGCATTCAATAAAAACAGAGCAAAGTCCTTTGTGAGGTACAGACACACAGACGCAGATTCAGGCACACACAGAAACACAGGACAGACACAGGTAATGGCAACAGGGCCAGACAGATCAGACACACACAACAGACTACAGATCTATTAGTAGACACATACAGAAGACAACAGGAGAGACACGGAGACTTCTAATTCCGGCTTTATCTTAGTCAAGCTAATCTAAGAGGAAGTCTGAGTTTTAATTTGCTAATGCAACACTAACATCATCAGGGATGGCTGTGCACCCCGTTGTGGTGGTTTGAAGAAGAATGGCCCCGACAAGCTCATATATCTGAATATTTAGTTCAGGAAGTTAGTCTAAAGGCTTAGAAGGTATTTCTAATTAGACGGTATGGCTTTGCTGGGGGTTAGTGTGTCATTGGGGGTGGGCTTTGAAGTTTCAAAAGCCCATGCCAAACTCAGTCTCTCTCTCTCTCTCTCTCTCTCTCTCTCTCTCTCTCTCTCTGCTTACAGATCAGGATACAGCTCTCAACTACTTCTCCAGCACCTTCCCTGCCATGCCTGTTACCATGCTCCCCACCATGATGATAATGAACTGATCTCTGAAACTGTAAGCAAGTCTTCAATTAAACGTTTTCTTTATAAGAGTTGCCTCAATTATGGTGTCTCTTCCCAGCAATAGAACAGTGGCTGAGACCCCCAGCTTTGTAGCATTGATCACAGGATGATCACATAACCGGTGAGACATGAAAACAAAACATAGCCAGGCACAATGGCTCATATCTTTAATCCAAGCACTTGGATGGCAAGACAGGTAGGTCTCTGTGAGTTTGAGGCCAGCCTGGTCCACATAATAGAATCTCAGGACAGTCTGGGCTAAGTAGTAAGACCCTGTCTCAAAAGAAAGAAAGAGAAAGAGGGGGGAGCAAGGGAAGGGGAAGGAAACAAGGAAGGACATCTCTCTGTAGTTTGTCAGTAAGGTGTTCTTCAAAAGGCTTGCAGTTTGTCCAAAGGAGCAAGAATCAAGCGACAAAGGCTCTAATTCCTCTATGACAAACAAGGCTTCCGAGCTGTCACTCTGGACATGACCGATGTTTCTCTTTCTAAATGGGTGGTCGATGTCAGATTAGCCTTACAGACTAAAAAGTACACTTCCAACCAATCAAGTGACAGTCCTCAGTCCCAGATGGGAAAATGGAGATTAAAACTAAAAAGGCTTATTTAAGATATAAGGAGAGGGTTAGCAAGATGGCTCAATGTATAAAATTACTTGCCCCGCGACTTTACCAACACAAATCCCATCTGAGGCCCCATGAGATGGGGAAACTGAGTCCTCAGGTTGTCCTCTGACCCCCATGCATGTGCCACAGTGTAATCACACCTGCGCTTGTGTCTATGTATGTGTGTGTGCACACACACACATACATAGACATAAACAAACAAGTAAATGCCAATAAAAAGAAAAAAGCTGAAACACTTTTAGCCCACGACTAGTAGCCCAGAGCTGGCCTGTTTCCTAGAGCCACTTCATTAAGCAATGAGAACCAGTCATTTGTCTAGAAAACTCAGAAATCTCTAAGCAAAGTGCAATCTAAGTTCTCAACTCTGCCAATTGCTCCCTCGGACCTCAGGGATCAGGAATAAAAAATTAAAAAATAAAAAGTGACCATAGACTGAATTCACTCCCATGCCAGTGGTGACTTTGAGTAAGTCTCTCACATAGAGGTAGGTCAGTTGCCTCTCTGAACTAGGGGGAAGTGAAGGTGAAATTTGAATGTGGTGATCTCTAAGATCATCAAATTTTAGTGATTGCACTGTTGGACTGCCCATTAAATCCCAAGATAAAATCCCACATGGTTCACAGAGAATTTGAGGGCCAAGAGGTCAGCAACCCTTCAGCAGACTCCACAATAAAGCTGATGAGTTAGGGTTCAAGCTGAGCATATAGTCTTTCCATCTTGCCTTCAAGAGAAAATAGAATGAAAACACACATCGTCACCTCTGGGCCCCATGGGAAAGCATGGAATGGCACCCCGTTCCCTTTGTTTCTCTTTCTTGTTCTTTTCAAAGGTTCTTAAAGAGCCACATTTAGAAGGATCTACTTCTGAGGACTGGATAGACCACTCAGTGGTTAAGGAGGCTAGCTGCTCCTACAGAGGGCCAGAGTTCAGCTCCCAGTACTCATAGTTTACAACTACCTGTAACTCCAACTCCAAAGGATCCAATGCCCTCTTCTGGCCTCCACACTCAACTGCCTTTGAGTGCACATTGCCACCACCACCACCACCACCACCACAACCATCCACCACCACAACCACCATCACCACCACCACCACCACCATCCACCACCACCATCATCATCTACCACCACCATCATCACCACCACCACCACCACCATCATCATCCACCACCACCACCATCCACCACCACCATCATCATCCACCACCACCACCATCCACCACCACCATCATCATCCACCACTACCATCATCATCCACCACCACCATCATCATCCACCACCACCACCATCCACCACCACCATCATCATCCACCACTACCATCATCATCCACCACCACCATCATCATCCACCACCACCATCATCCACCACCACCACCATCATCCACCACCATCATCATCATCCACCACCACCATCATCCACCACCACCATCATCATCCACCACCACCATCATCCACCACCACCACCATCTACCACCACCATCACCATCCAACATCATCCACCACCACCACCATCATCCAACATCATCTACCACCACCATCATCATCCAACACCATCATCATCTACCACCATCACCATCATCCACCACCACCATCAACCACTACCACCACCATCAACCATCACCACCACCATCATCCACCACCATCATCCACCACCATCATCCACCACCATCATCCACCATTACCACCATTATCTACCATTACCACCATCATCCACCACCACCATCAATCACCACTACCACCATCATCCACCACCACCATCAATCACCACTACCATCATCCACCACCACCATCAACCACCACCACCATCATCCACCACCACCATCAACCACCACCACCATCATCAACCACTACCATCATCTATCACTACCATCAACCACCAGCACTATCATTATCCACCACCACCATCATCCACCACCATCACCATCATCCACCAGCACCACCAGCACCACCATTAACCACTACCACCACCACCATCATCCACCACCATCATCCACCACCATCATCCACCACCATCAACCACCACCACTATCAACCACTACCACCACCAACAACAACAACAACTACACACACACACATACACATAATTAAAAACAAAAATACATCTTTAAAAAAAAGAATGTCCATACCTGAGTATATAGCACTTTCCTTGAACCAGCCCTTTCAGATGGCAGACCTCCCCAGTAGGGGTAGGAATCCCTACCTTTGTAAAAGTCCTCCTGGGGAAGCAAACTAGCCTCATGACTTTGACCTCACCCCTGGCCTTCCGCCCAAGTAACAAGTCAAATTTTCTAACTTGACCACTATTGTATTCTTAGCACTTGACCCTGAGTGACTTCCAGCTGTTTTGAAAACCCACACTCCTCCTTGAAAAGATGGAGATGTGTTTTCAGGGGAAAGACTCAAGTGAACACACACTGCTCTGTGGAGCCAAGTCCCTATGATGCTTCCTGCGGTGGCATGGCCAGCAAGGAGCTATCACCTTTCTTTTGGGGGGCTCTTTTGAAGGGCTGACCACTTGTTGAATGTTCCCAAGTGCTTACTGTGAAGAACTGTCTCTAATGCACCATTATCAAATCTTCTCCTGGCCTCCACCCATCTTCCTTCCCACCCTGCCATCCCCAGGCTCCTCTTTGCCCTGCCCAACTCTCTCCTCCTTTTCTGCAATTAGGCAAATGCCCAGGTTGCTGAGTTTTCAAAATGTGACTACGATCGAAGAGTGGGCGGGGACGCAGGACTCTAATGGATCAGAGGAAACTGTCTCAGCATATCTTGTTCCCAAAAGGCCTTTCCTTAGGGAAAGACGACCGTCCCAGTCAAACACTTCAGAGACTTCAAGGAACTCATCACCGTTGAATGTGACACAGAATCCTGCCTGAACAAGGGTCAGGGAGAAGGAGACCTTCTCTCTGGGGGCTCATGCTGCAAGCTTTCCACATAACAGCTCCCAGTACCAATGCCACAGACAGCTCCCCCACTCTCAGGACAGGTCTTTAACGTTTACCAAAGACCCCTTCGTTTATCCTCTGTACTGTTTCACAGATGAGGAAACAAAACCTCAAAAAAGTCAATAATGCCAGCGAGTTCAAAGTTCAAGCCAAGTATCTTGACCCTCCAATTTATGTTTCCCCCCCAGCATAACAGAAATTGACTACACTAACAGTAAGCCCTCATGGGGGGGGGTGTCTTTTTCCTCAAAGACAGCCAACAGAGACCTTCCGAAACATACTGCTAACCCATCAGTTGGCCCAGCCCCTGCGCTTACAAGCAGACAGATCCAAAGCAAAGACCATTTCTAAGGATTTGTCCCCTGCCTAAGGTAGCTCTGCTGTTGAATAGTCTCTCCAATAGATGTCCTCTAAGAGTCTCAAACAGAGCAGAAGAATATAGCTCTGACTCTTCCAAGAAAGAGTTCCTGTCTGCAGCATCTTTGCCGAGGGTCCCGCGCCCACTCCCCCCCTACCTGCCAAGAGTTGCATCCAGGCGCAGATCTTGTAGACGGTGGCGGTGTTGCAGAAGAAGAAAAGGGCGAAGCAGGTGATGCAGCCGAGAATCAGCACCATGGAAAGCAACACGAAGAAGGCGGCCGCCTTGAAGGCGCTGGACGGGATGGTGCTGAAGTCGGTGAAAGAGCCCCGGCAGGTGAGCTCGCGGCCCGCTAACCCGCTGCCCACGCAGTAATGGAAGAGGCCGAAGTAGCCAGGCTTGGGGGTGCTCACGCTGTCTCCTACCCAGTAGGGCTGGATGAAGACCACCACGTTGATGATGGCGAAGCAGATGGTGAAGATGGCCCACAGCACGCCGATGGCCCGCGAGTTCCGCATGTAGTGCTCATGGTAGAGCTTGGAGGCCTCCTGCGAGGGCAGCATGGTGCCCGGGGGCGGGGCCGGCGGCGGCTGCTGGTAGGGGGCCGCCGGCCCGGGGTGGACCACCGGGCTGCGGGGCGGGAGCTGGGGACGCACGCGAGAAGCAGCCCTGAGTCAAGGAACTCGTAAGGGCGGGGCCTGGGGCGGAGCTGGGGACCTGGGGGCTGGCTGGGTAGCTAGGAGGGGGTCATGACAGTGTTGGGGCGGCGACTTGAAGGACTAGCTAAGGTTTCGTACTGGGGGGCCTAGGAAGAGGAGTATGGGAAAGTTGGGGGCTGAGATGAGGACATGGGAGTTGGAAGTGGGGGGGGGGGGGTACCAGAAAGTGCTGGTGGGGGAGTTGGAGAGGGGGCTTGGGAACTGGTGATGGGATAAGAGGGGACCATGGGGAGATCCAATGAAAGATGGAGATCAATACTGGAGCATTAACAGGCACCTAATAGAAAGCTGGGGAGGGCATACTGGGACTGTTTTTAGGGGTAGCGGGTCTGGGACTGGGTGTCTGAAGGGAATCTGGAAGCTGACGGACGCTTTTCCATAAGGAAGGGGAGAAGAGGTTGTCAGGGGCTGGTACTGAGGGCATGAGGAAGGTTACAGTAGGGCCAGGCAGGGGCCAGGAACTGGTAACCAGGGCTAAGTGTTGGAATCAGGATGAGGCTAGCGTGGAATCAGGGGCTGACACTGGATGGTCTACACGAGTGATGGGGAGTGGGGGGGGGGGGTGCTCCTTAGAAGCCGGGGCTGAATGTCGGCTGCGGGGGGGGGGGGGTGTAGTCTAGGATTGGCGGGCCAGGGCCGGAGCGAGTGGCTTTTCAGGCCAAGGAGACAGGGAGCCCGAGGCCAGGGGGCAGTCTGGGCCTGGAGGGGAGGGCAGCGGGCAGGGGCCAGGCCGGAGCGCGGGGGAGCGGCTGGGCCCCGGTAGGGCCGGAGCTGGGGGGTGGCTGCCCTGCACGCAGGCCGGACGCGCGCGGAGGCTGCGGCTGCGGAGAAGGGATGCGGGAGGACCAACCTGGGCCGGGTCGGGATGGCTGATCCGGGACCGGCAGGGCTCAAGCGCCGGGGCTCGGTGCTCCAGGCAGTGGATGCCTCGGCCCAGGCGGCGTCCTCTGCGTGGCCTCCATCTTGCTCGGGCTCTCCCCGGGGCGCGCTCCCGCGCCGAGGAGCGCGCTCCCGTGCACTGGCGCGGCGCAGCCGGGGCGCGCTCCCGCGCGGGCGTAAAAAACTGAGCAGAGTGGAACCGGGGAGGGGGAGGGGCGCTTCAGGTTCTGGCAGTCAGAGGGAAAGTCAGGCACGGTGACCCTGAGGTCCCTCAGCCAGAGTCACACACCCCACCCCCACCACCCCACCAGACCGCAGGCCTCGGGACTGCCTGGAAGCCCTTCTGCCAGACTGAGTTGAGGGGTTCTGGCTCCCCACAAAGCCCGTGGGCATGGGGGAAGGGCCCGAAAGAGGATTGTTTGATAGGCGTTGAACTCAATGTCTTGATTCCAGATTTCCACCTACCACCTATGACAATGCCTTCAGTCTCTCCATTCTGCTTCCACGCCTTTGTGTCTCGGAGGCGGTGAAGGTTTCCAGAGTTTCCTAGGAAACTGTCAACACCCCCCCTAGGAGAGGGGAACTCCTAAACTGTTAACACCCCATGCCAGCCATGGGGATTCCTTGGCCCACACCACAAGGAGATCGGGCCAGGGAACAGGACCCAAACCAAGGACAGGAGAAGAAGGGCCTGAGAAAGTGGGTATTTCCTATCTCCATCCTCCCCAGTGCCCAAGCCAATGCATGTACATTATGAAGTTCTAAACATCAAAGCCTCACTGTCAAAGCTGGTGATCAGGCCAAAGAACGAACCCAAGGACACTCTTGCAGGGCCTTTGGAACCCGGACAAACTAACACTAACTGTGACCTTGAATTTGAACTTTTTGAACCTGTTTCCCCATCTGTAATGTGGCCAAATTATGCCCCACTTTCCAGGTGTGTGTGTGTGTGTGTGTGTGTGTGTGCAAATGATCCGTGTTAGTGCATCCCAAACCCTGGACCACACTCAGGAAACGCTTTGTTGTAACTCACATCTATATGCAAAAACTTATATGGTATTTTCAAAATGTCTTTTTTCCAGTGGGATAAGAAACTGTTTTTGTTAGACAGTAGTGGCACACACCTTTAATCCCAGCACTTGGGAGACTGAGGCAGGCAAATCTCCAAGTTCGAGGTCAGCAGGATCTACAGAGAGAGTTCCAGGACATTCAGGGCTACAAAGAGAAACCCTGTCTCAAAAAAAAAGAAAGAAAGAAAGAAAAAGAAAAGAAAGAAAGAAGAACAACAAACAAAAAAGAAAAGAAGAGGAAAAGAAGGAAAAAGGAAGAAGGAAGAAACTTTTTTCTGTAAAAGTCTGTCTCACTTCAGGGAGAGGTGTGTTCAATCAGTCTTGTTAAGTAGTCCTTGCTAGCCTAGAACTCACTATGTTAGACCAGGCTAGCCTTGAACTTTCAGGAACCCTCCTGCTTCCGTCTCCAAGTGCTGCGATTATAGCCATCCCCCAACACACTTGGTTTGTGCAGTGACGGGGATCAAACTCAGGGCTTTGTATCATCCCAGACCAAAATTTCCAACTTTTTGTGTTGTTGTTGGTGGTGGTAGTGGTTTTTCGAGACAGAATTTCTCTGTTTACCTTTGGAACCTGTCCTGGAACTCACTCTGAAGACCATGCTGGCCTCCAGCTCATGGAGATCTGCCAGCCTCTGCCTCCCTGAGTGCTGGGATTAAAGGCCTGAACCACCAATGCCCAGCCCAAAGTTTCCAACTTTTAAGAAATGGTATTAATAGACGGGAAGGGGTATTTCTTCTTAATATCTCTGTAAGAAACAGGAGATTTTGATCCCAAATTGTAAAGGGAGAATGATCTATGAAATTCCACAATTAGAGTCCTCAGGTTCATGTGAATTCACCTTCCCCAGGGCCAGACTGTGGGCCTTGAATTTGGTTTCTCTTTCCACTCTCTCTTTGAAGAAGGCTCCCTTTTCTACCTCCAGGTGTCCTGCAGTTCTGGAATCATGAGCAGGAGGCACAGGACAAGGAATCTCCTTCCCACACTTCTTCCCACTCTACAGAGGGAAACAGAAGCAAGGAAGAAAACTGACATCGCCATGCAGGGAGAGAGCTACCCCGTCAACCTGACTCACGAACTTACTCATCTGTCTAACAAGCAGGGAAGAGGCCCCTGGAGTGTGGCACTCCAGCATGGGGCACTGGAGACACGAAACAGACAGGTGGAGGGAAAACAGACAGGGGAAAGGGAAGATGTAGGAAGGAGAGGACAGGAGGGGTCAGTCTCATCTCCAGGGGTTCTGTGTGGATGCTCCCGGTTTGGATGCTCTCCAAACGATCTCCTTTCTCCATTCCCCACTTTGTCTAAGTTGTTCTTTTCCTAGCCTGCTGAGCCAAGCTAGGCAGTCTAGAACAAAAGGGCATCAGAAGGTCGGCTGAGAGTTCTTGCTGGGCAGGGTCCACGGTTTTCTGGTTTTCCGACTGCAGAGTAGAGTGCTCTGGGAAGTTCTGCCCACAGCTCTCTGCCGCTTTGGCCCCATAGAGCCCTCCTCGCTCAGCTCCTGGATTGATCCTGGGTGAGCCAAAAATTTTGGTTTCTGCTTATGTCAGTTTCTCTTAAGTTTTTGTTGTTGTTTCTGATCCAAATAGTCCTAAATAATTCATCTACATTCCTCCAAAAGAGCTACCAGGATATTGATCTGGGGATTTGGTGAATCTGTAACCAGGCTGCCTCAAACTCCCAGCATAGCCAAGGATGACTTCAAACTTCTGATTCTCCTGCCTCTGCCTTCTGAGTGCTGGGATTGTGGGCATGTATTGACCAGCTTCAGTGGGCTTTTGCCTATTGTTTCTTTCTCTGGTTTTTCGAGACCGGGTTTCTTTGTAGGTTTGGAGCCTGTCCTGGAACTAGCTCTTGTAGACCAAGCTGGGCTCGAACTCACAGAGATCTGCCTGCCTCTGCCTCCCAAGTGCTGGGATTAAAGGCATGTACCACCACGGCCCCGTTGCCTGTTGTTTGTTTTTAATAGAAGAATGCCTGAATACATTAACTACTCAGAATACATGACACATCAGAACTAGGAGATCAGAATTTGAGGCCAAATTCTGCCACATATGAGCTGTGTGGCTCAGATGACAAACACCACATTTTCAGGGGAGGGGAGGTGTGAGAGGAAGATTGAGACAAGTAGCTAGTTGGTTTTGTACTCATTCTGATCCTCCTGCCTCAGCCTCACAAATGCTAGGATTACAGATGTGCACCCCTCCCCCACGTTTTCTATTGTTGGTGATGGTATTGTTGTGAGTCAGGGTTTTATTCTGCAGCCCTGGATGGCCTCCAACTGTAGCAATCCTCCTGCCTCAGCTCCTCAAGTTCTGATGCTACTCTTGAGAGTCTTATTTTCTTCATTTGTAAAGTAGAGAAAAACACACTTCCTCCTCACATATGCTGGGAGGATTAAAAGAGATAATGGATAGAAAAGAGCTTTGTAAATGGGAAAGGGGCTATAAATATAAGTGATTATCATTAAATTTTAATAATAAATGACGTCTCCAAAGAAGAGATACAGCAGGAGCCTTGGAGATTCACTTGCTGAGCTGTGAGGAGGGGAGACAGGTTGTGTCCCCATTTTAAAGGCGAACCTAGAGTGGAAAGGAAATGTGAGATCCGTTCACAGGAAGAGCACCTTGTTGGAACCAGGAAGGGGCCAGACAAGGAATGAAAGATCATAATGGGAACCAAAAAGCCGAACACGATCTGACACACTGTAATCCCATGCTCCAGAGGCTGAGGTAGGAGGACGAGAAGTTCATGAGCGGCATGACAAGAGCCTCGCTATCTATAAAGCTGGGGTGTAGCTCAATGGTGTGTTTTCCTGACGTTGGTGAGACCCTGGGTTCCACCCCAGCAGAGAAGGGAGAGGTGTGTACAATGTGTGTGGGGTACGTGTGTTTAACTTTAGCATTTGGGAGATGAAGGCAGAGGATCAGGAGGTCAAGTTTATCCTGAACTACAAAACAAGCCTCAAACTTGACTATGTAAGATATTCAAAAACTTAAAAAACAAACATAACAAAACAAGGCTAAGCAGAGAGACCTCAGGAAAAAACAAACAACCAAAAGAAGCTTAAAACATACAATCTTGCTGGACATGGTGGCACATGCCTTTAATCCCAGTACTCAGGAGGCAGAGACAGGTGGATGTTCTGTGAGATTTTTATTTTTTTTTTTTGTTGTTGCTTTGGTTGGTTGGTTTTTTTGTTTTGTTTTGTTTTAATTTTTCAAGACAGGGTTTCTCTCTGTAGCCCTAGCTGTCCCTGGAACTCATTCTGTAGACCAGGCTGGCCTTGAACTCAAAGAGATCCACCTGCCTCTGCCTTCTGAGTATTAGGATTAAAGGCACGCACCACTGCACCACTACTGCCCAGTGTTCTGTGCGTTGAAGGTCAATTGTTCCAGGCCAGCCAGGACCTGGTGTCTCAAAAATAAATACACACAGGCAAATAAAACGACCCAGAAAGTGATTGGCAAAGACTATGATATAAATTATTCTTGAATAAATTCTTGCCTTGGATGGTAGTATACACCAATGACTCTAGCACTTGGGAGACTGAGGTAAGAAAATAGCTATTTTTCTCTGTGGCTTTGGAGCCTGTACTGGAACTAGCACTTGTAGACAAGGCTGGCCTCGAACTCACAGAGATCTGCCTGTCTCTGCCTCCCAAGTGCTGGGATTAAAGGCATGTGCCGCCACCACCCAGCTGAAAATAGCTATTTTTGAAGCTAATTTGAGCCACATAGTGATAATTTTTGTCTTAAAGCAAACACAAAGAAGAGAAGAAGGAAAAAAGGAGGTGGGGGAAATCACTGGATTGTCCACTGTGGTCGCTAGTCTTGGTTACTGACTAAGAGTCAAGTCTCTGGAACCTGTAAGGACTTTGTTTGACCAGGTCACTTGAAGAGGGTTGTCCTACCCTAGTGTGGGCAGCACCTCTGTTGACAATCTTATACCCGGAAGTTGAAGGAAGAAAAACGTTTGCTTTTTGCCTCCTTGCTTTTCCACTGCTATGGCGTTCATCGGCCTTGCGGCTGCCACTGCTCCCATCACTGCCATTCTTCAATGACGTCAGAACCCAGCTTCTTCAGCCTTCTGATGTAAACTGGAGACCAGGGGCTCTCCAGTAGTCCTCCAGCATCAACGCCCAGTTGTAACTGCCAAAGCATCAACCTCACGGACTGAGCAACTACTGTGACGTCAGCCTCTCTAGAGAAGGCAGCCGTTGATGACCTACCCAAACGCTAAGTCAATCTAGTAAATCCCCCATTTAATATGGACTCATTCTAACAGTCTGTTCCTCTGCAGAACCCTGAATAATACATTGTCTTAATTACTGTTCTATTGCTGTGAAGAGCATTTAATTGGGGACTTGTTTACAGTTTAGTCCAATGATCATCATGGCAGGAAGCAGACAG